TGCTCTGTAGCCATGTTTTACAATATCACACTAGAATATTAATGTGTATAATTTATACATGTTAACGGAAAATAAAATGAAAATCCTTAAGGTAAATGAAGAAATGCTGTGTGAGCTCTCAGCCTGTTGGCCTGCTCTACAGATTTCAAGTGTGCTACATGACACAATCACATGATCTGACTCTCTAAAATAGCACTCTACCAATTTTTATTTCTTTCTGTAACATGGTAATGTTATGGTTTAGATCTAAAATATCTCCCAATTGTCTCACATTTGGAGGGGGTACTAGTTAGAAGAGGGGTGTCACTTGGGTATATGTGGAGGCTGTGTTCTCATCCCTGGCTCACCCATGGTCTCTTGATTTCTTCACAGCCATGGCATGACCACCTTACTTAGTCATGCAATTATGCCATTCCAGTTCTGTCTTTGAGTAGGATTAAAATGGACTGAATTAACTGAATTTGTGAGCCAAAATAAACTGCTTCTCCGGTAAGTAGAAAGTGTTCAGCATATAGTTACAGTGATAGAAAAATTAGTAATATAAAAAAATGGTGTCAGGACTAGGGCCATTTCTGTGACTGAACTTGATTATGGGGTCAAAAAGCTTTGGATGTTGTTTACAGGGGGAATATGGCAAGGTTTGGAGGTGCATCTGAGAGAAGCCCTAGAATGTTGTGAGCAGTGCTTGATGTGCAAACCTGGTAAGAACTCAGAAAAAGAAAGCTCATAGTAATGTGGAAATTATGGGTCAGGCTCCAGAGGTTTCAGTTATGTACAAGGGCCAGATTGGCAGTTGTACTAGATGCTATATGAATTAATCTCTGGCACAAAGTGTGTCTGCAGTTTGTCAATGTCCTGAAGTTTTGTGGGAGACTAAGAGTATTGAAGGTAGATAGTTTGGCGGTGGTAATAAAAGGCCAGCCAATGTTCAGGTTGCATCACATTTATTACCGAATGCCAATAGGAAAATGTACAGTGAGTTTCATGAGGCAATGGCAGAACTGATTGATTCAGAAGCTCTAGTGTTTCACCAGAAAGAGGCCTTTACAACCTTGGAGCAAGAGAGGTAATATTTGAGAAAGATTAGAATTAAAAAGAAATCATTTACTTTGAACAGGACCAAGAAGAAAAATGCCTTAAGGACATAAAAGAAATCACCAAATCTCCATTCATTATAGGATCAGGGCTCTAAAACTAAATATTTCAATTGAGTAGAGAGTCCTTGGGACTCCTTCTCATTCAAAGCTGACTAGGGAAATGTATCCCTGAATTCAGCCATCCAGATCCTCAGTGGCCACTGCAGCCATGTGTGAAGGGGGCCTGGCTTCTGCCCAAAATAATGAAGAACGATGTTGTTATTTACATGGTGCTGGCTTTTGAGGCATGCAGAATGTCAAAGGTATGGAGGCAGAGAGGCTTCCACCCAAATTTCAGAGAAATGTGTAACAGGGTCACAGTCCTTGGCAAGAGCTCATGAGAGGGTGGCATATGAAGCTGTGGGAGTGAAATGAAATTTGCTATGAGCACCCCAGGGAGTTGGAGTTGCCAAGTACATGGATTTTCATTTGAAGGAAACCACAAGCACAGAGTGGATCCAGCCCAAGAGAAAGGCCAAATGAGCTGCAACTGGAATGTTCATAGGGAAATGTCTATCCAAGCAGTTTGGACTCACCTCTCACCACACCATACCTGGCTGCTGGACATGGATCAATGTGACCTGATATATGTCCTGTTGACTTTAATCCAATTGCATTTTATCCCCCATTCCTCCCTTTTACACTGGAAATGCTTACCCTGTGTTCTTGTATATTGGGAGTATCCTACTTTTACAGCCCTGAGTTTGCCTGGAATCTCAAGGGGAGATTTGAAATTGTATACAATAATTGAACTATTATTTGGCCAATCGTAGAAATGGACTAACGGCTATTGAATAAAGTCATGCACATGAGCCTCTTAGGGTGTGTGTGGGGGGAGTGGTATGGTTTGCATGTACAATTTTTCCTAAAATATTGATGTTTGGTGCCCTGTCTCTCTCTCTCCTGGCTACCATGGTATGAGAAGCATTTCTCCTCCACAGTCTTCTGCCATGCTTTTTTGCTATGGAGCCAACAAGACACACACTTAATCCTCTGAAAACTGTGAGCCAAAATATACCTCTCCTCTTTTGACTTACAATTGATTGGTATTTTCTCTCAGCCACAGCAAATCTAAGGAAGAAATAGAAATATTGGGCTGGGGATTTAGCTCAGTGATGCCATGCCTGCTTGGCAAGTGCAAGGTCATGAGTTTGATTCCTAGTATAAAAAAAAGAAATAGAAATATCTAAATCATGGAATATAGATATTGATAGATATAGATAGATTGTGATTTACTTTTTGCATATGGATGTTCAATTTTTTCAGAACCAGTGTTTATGAGACAGTCCCTTCTCTCCTTAATCCTCATTATCCACTTGTGGTCACTTATTGTGCTGGGCAGGGTTTAGAAAACAAGGTCAGAAGGCCTCTGTTACATGCACACACACACACACACACACACACACACACACACACACACACAAGGCTCTGACCTTTGAAATGGAAAGAAAACAACCAGTAACTGGAATGGTCATTGAACCACACAGGACAAGAACACAAGGAGAATTAGTGGGAGGACCCTTTCTCAGACCTGGTCCACACCCAAGGTGAGTAGACCCACACAAGCCCTTCCTCTCCTTTCCCTGGATCTTCCTCCTTTTAAGGCTTCTCCCATGGCCTCAGACCCCTCAAGTGAAGTCCCTGTTCCCAACCCTCCTCCACCATCTTCCCCCAAGCCAGTGACCTTCTGTGATCACATTTGTCTTGTCAGATGCCCAACAGAATAGCAAAGTTTCAACAACTTCTATAAGGGGGTCTGGGAAAAACAACCTTCTCCACAGCATCCACCTGTTTCTGCAAACCCAGGGTCAGCACAGCTCTGCTATTTCTACCAGCATGAATAAGAAATGCTATCAGCATGAGACACAGCAGGATTAAGAGAGCATGGGCAACTCTATGACCTGAAGTGAAGACTTGGGTTAACTGGGACATGAGTGAGACCAGAGAACTCAGGACTGACCCAGGAACCTGCAGAGAAATAATCCACATTGTAGACACTGAATTTTATTTGAATTTGTACAGAAGTGTGATGAGAATAAAACCAACCTGGTCGGATGAGATGTGTGGGAATGGGGAGGAAAGGAAGAAGTGGGTGAGTGATAAGGAACAGAGGTGGGTCCTGTAGGTTGGGGTTCAGAGCCATAGGTCCTTGATAGGCAGATGTAGGAGATAAGCCCTTATCTCAGGCAAGTTCTCCCTGAACATTTGGTCCCACAGGCAAAGAGGATGCTGTCTCTCTGCGCCAGTGCACTGATTTCTACCTGGCTGGGGACAGGTGTTGTATGTGGGATGGCAGTGTCTCTCCCAGGAACAGCACAGCCTGTCATTTCCGCCATGCCTACCTCATGGTGGATTTGATCCTGGACTTCATTCTATCCCATCAATGTTTTTCTAGAGCTGACTCACTGTCTTGATTATTGTTAGTTCCCAATCCTTGAAATGAAGTGGGGCAACTCCTCCAACTTTGTTTCATCTTTTTAACAGTTGTTTTTGGCTGTTTTAGGGCCTTTGCATGTCTATATGAGTGTTAGAATAATCTCCCCATTTTCTGTTTAAAATATTTCTGGGATTTTGATTTAGTTGGGTTGAACCTATCAAGGTATTTGGGAAGAGCTGACTTTGTAACATTATTCAAATGTGTCTGTAACAAACAAGACTTATATTCCAATTAATTTTGATCTCCATCATTGTGTCTTATCAATATATTGTATTTCTTAGTGCAGAGATTTTCTACATCTTTGTCAGATTTATCCCTTTAATTAATTTTCTAATATTCTTTTAACTTCTACTACTTTATGCTCATTTTCAGTTGCTTACTTACAATGTAAAAATGCAGTATAATGATCTAGTATCCGGTGACACTGCTAACCTCAATTCTTTGTTCTAGAAGCATTTCCTTAATGTATAGAAATGGTATTTATGAATTTCCTTATTCTTTATAAATATGAAGTTTTATTTCTCCTTTTCCAATCTGGAGTTCATTATAAAAAGGACATGATTATAGGACATGAACATAAGGGCAATGTTGAATAATTCCTTGAACCCCAACCTGCATTGTGAATTTTTCAGTCCTAGGTTGTATATTAGTCAAGCTACCATGGAAACCAGGTTCCTCAAAAGGATTCCCATAGGCAAAGATCCCCCATAACTTCTGCACACAAATACCTGCCCCATCCCTCCTAAGCTGTACAACCACGCCTGGGTACCACACCTACTGGGACAAGCAGGCCCTGCAGATTGTGAAAAAGGCTAAGACACCCGTTAGAACACATTTATTCACTGAAGTCTTGATAGGCTGAAGCAAGCGATTTCACGAACAATCACACAAAACTAGTGGAAAGTAAGAAAACACTAGAAAGAGGAAGTGAGATAGAAACATTCCCTGCTGGTAGCCAACAAGTGAATTGAGAACATGCTGCATAGCCATAGTTAAAGATAGGAACTGGGATGATCCTCATCTCCACATAGACTTAGACATGGCCACGTTGGTATGGAGGGACTGAAGTTATCCTACACACACCTAGGGGATGGTGGTAGGGAGAACACAGAATGTGGCACTGAATCGTGTGTCTATGCAAAGTGTGGAAGAAACACTGTCTCCTCGTCATGCCATCCACCAACAAAAGGCTGGTGTGATGAGAAGGGTTAGTAGGTCAGTTTGGAAGGCTACGTAGGACTGCTTAGAGAATCCCCCCTTTCTTCAACCAGACCAGCCTCGCCTCCTGAGCAGCCCCCATTTCCCTGTGGACCAGCCTAGCTGCTGCTCTGTGATGTATTAGCCCCTCCCCCAGGACTAGACTGGCAGAGGGTGTGGCTTGATGACACAACAAAGCCCACAGGGTGGCCACTCATTTGCCTGGGAGGAGTGTGTAAAGAGAGCTCAGTAGGCCTCTGTTAGACCCCAGGGAGGCTCATATGCTTGAGGGATGGAAGGAAAATCACCAGTAACTGCAATGGAAGTTGACCCACTAAGCCCAAGAACACAAGGGAGGAAGAGGAAGGCCCCGTCTTCAAACCCGGTGCAAACACAAGTGAGTAGATCCACACAAGCACCTCTGTTCTTCCCCTGGCTCCTCCCCCTAGGGCTCCTTCCCTAGTCTCAGACCGCTCTCTTCTCCTGAGGCCCCTTCTCCCACCCCTTGTCCACATTCTTCCTCAGCCAGTGCCCTTTTGTGATCACCATGTGTCATTTCACATCCCCAGAAGAATAAGGAAGTGTCAAAGATCCCTACTCGTGGTCTGAGGACAAAAGCCTCCCCCAGAGCTCCCACCCTTTCTAGCAAAGCTAAGGAAAGGAGCCTGCCAACAAGTTCCAGCCATTGCCAGCATCTGAAGGGGAAACACAGTCAAGATTATCCACAGCAGAACCAGCCGAGTGTGGTGAAGTCCTCCCCCTCATGTGAAGACATGGTCATCGAGTAACCTGAGTGAGGCCAGAGACCTTAGAACTATCCTGCAGTCTCCACAGGTCAGGCCCCTGGGAAATGGTCAACCTTGTAGACAGCAGCGAATCTCATCCCAGCTGGCACATAAGTGTGATGAAAATGAAACCAACAACAGGAGATGTCTGTGTGCCTCTTCTTTGATGGTATAAGGGCAGGAAGGGAAGAGGTGTGTGTGTCAGAAGGGAGAGAGGAAGGAACTGCGGGGCGGTGGTTCTGAGTGATGGGTCCTCCGGGAGCCAGATGTGGCGATATAATCTCCTCTGGCCTGATTCCTGGACACAAATTTCTCCATTAAATTTTGTACCTGGGCAAAAAGAGGATGCTGTTTCTCTGTGTGTGTGTGCAGTGTCTGGTACCTAGCTAGTAAGAGAAGGTAGACTGGGGTGAAGGAGCCCCGCCCGTGGAGAGCACAAACTCTCATTCCCTCCCCACCCACCTCATCCTGGTGTTCCTTGTTCCCAATCTCAGGATGTAAGCAACGCAAGGCCTTCACAGTAACAAAACTTTCCTACCAAAGATCCCCCAAAGTACTCTGAAGCAGTGAAATGACAATTTTGGACCTCACAAATCTAACACCGTTTGGCTACTTTTTCAAAATGCAGTAGTTGGGTAGGGGTGGGGCTGTGTGAGTGATTCATGCTTGGTGTGTCTAATAAAGGGGACAGTGCTTGTCCACAAGTGTCGTCACTGCAGTTTTATTTTAGGCAATTGTGTATTTAAGCGCAGTTGTAAGACATCACACGGTTAGGTCCTGTGCAACCTTCAGTCCCACCCTCAGTGGTAAAATACTGAAATCTCACTACGGTCCACTTGCTCAAATGGATATTGACACGGATGCTGCCAAGATGTCTAATGCTTCCGTCCGCATAGGGATCCCTCCTGATTCCTTGTAGAGACACAGCACTTCCTTCACACCCACACCCTCCTCATCCCAGGAGACCACTGGTCTGCTATTCATTTATATAATTTGGTCCCTTCAGCGATGTTATCAAATGGATTCACAAGGAGAGGTACGGTTTGGTGTTGCTTGCTTTAACATGACATAGTTGCCTGGAGATCCTTCCTGTTCTGTATGTCTATGAAGAGTCCATTCCTCCGCAATGCTGAGTGTTGTTCCAAGAGATGGATGTGGCAAGGATTTTGTTTCTTTTTTAACCATTATTCCATCTAAGGACATCTAGGCTGTTTGCTTCCCGTGCCTCACTGTTATAAGGGAAGCTGAGCCAAATATGCTCACACTGATTTAGGGTGAACAAACATCGTTGGTTCTCTGGGATAAAGGCAGAATGCCTGTTATGCTGGGTTGTACGGTGACTGCAGGTTTTATTGTATTTTAATTACTAGCCATGATTATTAGAGGAAATTTAGAAGTACAGAAAATTGAGCAAGTAGTGTAGAGTTCCTCTATACCCCAGTATTCCTCCACAATGTTTTCCATGTAATTAACATCTTGCATAACTCTGCTATACTTTTTTTACAATTTATCATTACCTCCAATTTTATCCCATTAATGAAAGTAGCCAATATCAATACTGACACAGTATTTTTAACTAACATGTACTGTTTACATTAATTCATGCTTTGTGTTGTGTGGTTGATTCTGTGGGTTTTGAGAAATGCATAACACTGTGTATTCACCACCACAATATCACATAAAATAGTTGTTATTCCTTCAAATGCCCTGTACTCATGCTATGCATCCCTCTTTTGCTGCTGCCAAAATCATCCACTGGGCTTTTTCTGCTCTACAGTTTCCCTTTTTCAGGATGTTAGTTGATATCACAGTACGTAGTCCATTTAGACTAAAGACCAACCCTAACCCTAATGCTAACCCTAACCCTTACTGGACAGTGGGCAATGGTGGGCCATGTGCCACAGTTGCTTGAGATAGAGAATCAATCTCACTTGCATAGTATTGTAAAAATATTAGCAGGAAGGTTCTTCTTATTCACTCACCAGCTCTTGTGTGTACTGCTCTTCACTGTAACCTCTGATCTTAGCAGGCTGAGAATTTCCTCCTGTCTTCGGACTCATGGCCAGTCTGCTACCTGTGAGCTGTTCCTACAGTGCACACAACTGTCCTTTGGCATACTGCTAAAGCAGAACTTCCCTGTGAGGAGTGACACACACCAGAGACTTGGGAAGGAAGATGTTTTTCATACTTAGTTTGAGATCTACAAAGAAGCACTTCCCACCTATTGAGAGTACTTCAGGGTTAGAGGAATTCAGCCACAGCAGATGTTTTTCTTTTCTCCACTGTGGTGAGCAAGGCCCTGCCTCACCTACAGCTTCTCAGGGAGCTTTGGGTTTGCCAACCCACATAAGCACACGCACCTGCACATGTGTGCAGTGGACCTTTCCTAGTAACTCATTCCATGAAAACCCTACAAAAATGTCCAAATGGTCTCAAAAACTGTCCTAATTTAACCTGCCAGGACAAGGAGTAGATTACACTGCATGTCCAACTCCTTATCACCTGTTTGGGAAAGCTTCAGAGTGTGTTATTTTGCTTCTCAGGCACATAACGCAGGGACTAAGCCTCATAGTCCAAGGATAACTTTTATGTCAAAAGATCTGTTGCTATTGGAGGGTTTCCATGGTGAGCAAAGTGACAGCCAGGGCTTTTCCATGCCGTGGGTGAGGGCAGGTGACTCTGGGCAGTTCCCAGGGAGTAGGGGGCACCCATTGCCTGCTCATTTTACTTTCTTAATTCAGGCCAGGGCTCAGTGCCTTTAACTCAGGATCTTTCTACAACCTGAAAGATTTCTTTTTAAATTTTTCTGAGTAGAGAAATAAATTCAGAAACAGAGATGGTTTCAACTTGAGAGGAGTGGGAACAGGGTGGCCTCTAGATGACCTCACACTGGGAGTCCAGTCCTGGCCTTGGCATTTGCCACACAGGGATCCTGAGAAGCTCCCAAGCTCAGTAGGCCTCAGGTTCTTCATCTATAAAGTGGGTTTTACAAACAGTCTTGGTTGTAGAAGCCAGTGGAGTGTAAAAAATGTATTAAGACGTCTAGCAGAATGCCTAATATATATTCAGTATTTGGTTACACGACACAGGGCCTTCCAAAGGGCACACGTGCAATGAAGGTTTGGGGGGGATCAATGTACCCTTGAGCAGATGGGCTTCTTTATTGACAGTTAATTTCCCTAATATAATTGAAGAATCCAAACATATTCAGGTACAAATATATTTTTAATACTATAGATGAACAGAAGAAAAGAAATAAGGAGCCATGTATTGATTTTTATCCTTAAGTCTGTTTCTGGACTCCATCTAACTTGATGTAAATTTCTTACACATCTCCAAGGAAACTCCTATTTCTATACTATTTTATCAGAAGAAATGAAAGGTTCCCAGTTGGTTTCAAAAAAGAACAAAGACTTTTATACTCGGAATGGAAGGACAGAATTCATGTGTGATTACTATCATGTTCACATCAGAAATCACAATCAACCATCAATATCACAAACCTAAGTAAACATGTGAGATCAGTATCACTCTTCACATAAGATGTGCAATCTACTTGCAAAAAGGTACAGTATTTCAACGTTGTAAAGAAAACACTGGTCAATGTCCAAGTAACCCAAATAGAACAGACACCGAGATGGTATGCACTGCATTTTCCCCTCGTACCTGGATGTTCACTATTAGAAAACTGCCTGCTCTCCAGAAACACACACTGAAGAATGGGCCTCAGTTCACAAGAGGCAAAAGGTAAGCTAGAGATAGGGCTGTGAATGACCCCTGTCTCTGGAGTGCGCCTCGCTCCATCGGTGGCCCAGGCCTCACACACGGGCAGCCTCTTGTTTCTCTCTCAAAGCCTCTTAGTACAGACCTGAGTATGACTTGGCATATCCCCTATAAACCTTGGCCACATGCTCCAAGACTTTCATCTTGCTGGTTTCTGTCTGGGTCCTTGGACCCCACAGGACCTCAGTGAGCAGGATCGCTGTTGGGCACTGTGGATACTCCAGATTCCCTTCCTTTACCACATTCTCTGTGATGAATTTCCAAGGCTCTCCAGTAACAAAGCACTCCCCCTGAGGTAACGATTCCCTGGTCTCAGTAAGTCCCTCATGTCCTCCTCACTAGCACGCTTGTCCTTCCAGAAGATGATAGTCAGGATGGGTATCAGGAGATTGATTCTGGAAAGATCTGGTCATCATCCCCCAGCATCCCAGTATAAGTGAGTCCCAAGACAGGGACAAGGACACGTTTGTCCATGGGGATCCACTTCCCACACATCAATGCCAAAGCTCACACACATGCACTCACGGAGTTCCCTGAAGATCTGAGGGAAGTGCTATCACAGTTCTGGTCCGCACTATGTAGCAATTCCGCCATGGTGATCAGCTGCTGCTTCTTTTGATACTCGAGGAGCAGAATCTGCTACAATTCAGCTACCAAGTCATCTAGTGACACATGGTGCAGGATATGATGGACTAGCAGGCCATGTGGGGTGCATGGACCCTGCTCTATTGCCTGCTGGAGCCCTCACTGGATTGGCTCCTTTGAGTGGAGGCCTTGGTAGTGGGCCAGAGAAGACACCCTGAGGATTCTGGGACATCTTTGGGTCCCAGGATGAGGAAGTTCTCTTGGAGGAGTCCTAATTTGAGGATAGGAGGAAGAGAAGGCCCTGGGAGCAGTGGCTGCTGCTTCCTCCCCCTCAGGCTTGAGAACCTGAAAGTGCACCTTGTCACTCTTTGGGCAGGATGGCCTCCCCTAGCTTGCTGCACTGGCTCCTCTGGCCATTCAGATATAATCAGGTTGCTTGGGGACAGCAAAATTTCAAATTTCTATATCTTGGAAGGAAACTATTAATTTTAAATCAGAAAGAAATTTTTCTAATTTTTTTTCTTATCTTACACTTGCCTATTTTTCTTCCCCCCCGTCTTTTCCTTTTTATATTTCCTTATTTTTATTCTCCATATAATTTCTTTTTCTTTATTCCTTTTGTTGTTGGCTTCAGTTTCTCAGCAGTTTTTTTCCATTATCTTTACCTAATTCTATAAGCATCCTTCTAGTCTTTAATAAAATCATTTCACATACTTCTCGCTCCTCCTTCTTATATCCTATAGTTCAAGCTTTCTTACTTTTCTTCTTGCATTTCTCCTTTCCCTGCCTACTATATCCTTAGTGGTGTATCTATTAAGCTTTATTAATCTTCATATAGTTAGTTAAATCTATAAAAGTACTTCTGAAATTTTTTCTACTATTAGCAAAGCTATAGCTGTCATCTTTAGTCTATATTAGCTATATGTCAGTATCTGAGTAGTAGTAAAGTTTGCACTATAATAGTGGATTTGTATCC